TCTTGTCCCGTATCTCATATCTTAGTGTCACTTATTTACTGTTTCTTTCCACTATTAACCTAGTGCTACTGAGTGTGCTAACAGAGCGTGCTACTGAATCTCTTTATATATGTAAAATACCAAGTGTGTTGATTTTGCCTTTATTTTTTTCCCCTGCATTTCAGTCTGTTGATGTTGACTGGCCTCCAACCTTGGATAATTAACTTTTCAAGTTGGGACGAGGAAGAAGCAGCTCCGCTGTCAGCAGCTGGTTACTGAGCACTGCACAGTATTAGAGCTTGGTTGCAAAGTGATTTCTGTTGAACATTTGGATCATGTTGATCTGCCAAAGGATACTGTTACTTTGAATCAACTTTAAACACTCTGAACAGGTAGTGTTGGTTCAATCTCTCGCCTTATTTTAATCTCCTCTGTGGATAAAAGGATTTTGGTAAGCTACTGTATTGATACTAAGTCTTTTTAAAACAATTAAGGAAAACAGTGTAACATGTGCAAAGGGAGTAGTCGGCAAGTACATCACATATACATTCTGCAATAGATTAAAATGTTTTCATTAAAAACAACCCTCCCTCAAGCCAGATTTATTTAATTTTTTAACTGTTTTTACATTGGACACTACAGCTTTGCTCACCTGGATGCAGGTAGCACAGAGTTACCTGAAACCCAGTCCTAACTTTTCCCAAGTACTGTTTATGCAGGAAATCCCCCAAATTAGGGAGACTGAAACCAACAGTGCCTGGGAGGAGGTGGTACCTCACTCTCTGCTGACTGCTTTTTGGGCAGTGTCCGTTTTGGAGATGGGCAATTTGTTTCCCAAAGTATTCTTCAAAGGAAAAAACAGTTTTCAGAGGAAAACTGCAGTTACACCCAAGTTTTTCTCCTTTAAAAACATCAAGGCTTCCTAGAAAAAACAGATGAGGTACTTGAGGCCTCGGCAGCTCTCTGGCCTGGTTACAGTTCTCTTCAGGCATAGGATTTCCCCAGTTGAGTCACCATGTATAAAAAGATTGGGAACTCCTGGCAGTGGTGCGTGATGGAAATGTAAAGAAAAATAGGAATACCTGGAACCTCAAAGTGCAGGCAAATACAAAACATAGCAAAGACTGCTGGTTTTGAAACCAAGACAAAGAGAAAAAGCTTTGGTTTAGTAGCATAATACATTTATTCTTGTATCTAGCCTTGGATGGGTGCCTATAAATGTTGAACACTGCCTAGGCACTTCCCTGGAATAGGGAAGATCTGAGTGTTTTCTTTGCTTATTTTAAATGTTTCATAAAAAGCACCACCTACATCTTTATGAAAAGCCACTTTTAGGCCTGTATCATGTTAATCCATTAGGAAGATGCTTCTGCTTACCTGAAGTACAGAAGAGAGTTAAACTCTCAACAAGGAATTAAGATTTGGAATATAAGGACTCTTCATTAATTAATATTTCATAAATAAAGGTAGTATTTGCCAAGACAAACCACTAGTTGAGACTGCTGAGATGTTTTACCTTCAATTCAGTGGTTGCCAGGACCTCCTAATAGAACAGCTGCATGATAACTTCAGCTGAAGGCTCAAAAAGGTATTAATAAATGCATCTTCAAGGAGCTCCTAAAAACTAACACAAAACTAATAGGAACATGATTCAGAGAGCAGTATTTTTTTGTTTTCAGTCTTAAAGCTGTTATGAGCAACAGATTTCAGGACTAGTTGTTTCAGACAATGATCTGTACCCAGAAAGGAAGTGTCATGAATGATGGAAAACTTACATTGAATTTAGAAGACAGACAAAAGAGAATTTCATTCTCATATCGATGTGATTTCTTGAAATTCAAAGTGAGCTAAAAATATGATTTATAAATTCCATAAACTACAGGGACAAAAAACAAACAAGACTACACTGTGGACACAACAGCCATGAGAAGAGCTGTTCCAAGGGGAAATGGAGCTAACCAGGCTGAGGCAGAAAGGGTTCCTGCCCTAGTGCAGCTGCAGCTTTCTGCCCCGTGCTGTATGTTATCCTGGTGACAGTGGAGATCATGATAACAACCCAGGAGTGGATAAACAAGGCTGTAAAGATTACAGTAACTGCTGGGTCTAACTTCTCCATACAATGTGGAGAGGTCCACCAAAAATTCCCAAATCATTTATTTTTATGACAAATGTGAAGCATCCAAATGAGAGGGAAAAATAAGCTGACAATGCAAGAACGTCTACAGCTCTTTAGATAGTTACTAAGTGATCATGTGAAGATATAAACATGAGAGATGTAATCTGGGGGTTTGAACTTCTGTTTAAATCCTGATGTTTCTAATACAAGGTAAACACTTGGAACTATCAGAAGCTCCCATGAATATTGCAGCAGTAATACTAATCCAGAATGGTTTGGGTTGAAGTGACCTTAAAGCTCCTCCAGTTCCAACCCCTGCCACGGGCAGGGACACCTTCCACTAGAGCAGGTTGCTCCAAGCCCCTGTGTCCAACCTGGCCTTGAACACTGCCAGGGATGGGGCAGCCACAGCTTCTCTGGGCCCCCTGTGCCAGCGCCTCAGCATCGTCACAGGGAAGAGCTTCTGCCTCAGAGCTCATCTCAATCTCCTCTGTTCGAGCTTACTTTGGCCTTCATCTTACTTTTAAAACTAAAATACCTACTTGCAAGTACTCAAATAGGATGTTCTGTGACCTGTTCATTATGTATGGGGTGAGAAAGGTAGAGATTTTCTAGCATGTTACATGAGAAACACTGGAAAAACGAGGTCCTGTGTTCCTTAGCACCATCCTTCTTCACACTGGAAGGACTCAGACTAAAGCTGTTGTGTGTCATACCAGCTCTAGCTGAGCATGAGAGCATCTGTCCTCCCTTTAACCAAAAAGTCAATAGCTCTGCCACAAGAAACGCACAGATGACCCCTTCGCACACACTGCTGTAGGTTTTGTCATGGCCAGTAGTAACCATGAGCAGAAAATCCTCTAAAAGGCAACTGATAACCTACCTTCTCCCATTTCTCTGGCTCTCCTGCACTGAGGGATGTCATGAATCCGAGGTTGCAGAAGCAAAGTACTTGGTATAACCAGTTTTTTAATTACCAAACTGACTCGTTTACAAAGGAAAACAGAACTTTGAAAATATTTAATTACACAGTAAAAACAAATTGTGCTATAAAGAGCTTTCTATGAAGTGAGTAAAATGTTTACATTTAATATACTTAAAATTGAGAACTTCAAGGAAAAAAAGAACTGAATAAACACATTTCAAGCTTTCTTTGTATTTCTTTGGTCTTTCTGTTACTTATGACTGCAGAGGAGCTATGCAGAGGTGAGGAAAAATGGCTTTAAAATGAGGAAAAATGGCTTTAAAACACAGAGAGTGAATTCCTTGCATCATGTGTCTGGAGTTAGGGGAAGCAGTTTTCCAAACTTCATCTATCCTACACCTTGTCTATTCATCAAAGCCATGAAATTGGTGTAATGCATTCCAGTGGCAGCACCTTGTTGCTTTGAGTGCAATGAATTCCTGCAGTTAAGGAGTCATTGCTTTCCCATAAACCATTGCTTTTTGGAGTTCCTTTCTGCCTTGTGTACAACTATTCACCTCAATAGTTGTGTGTTTTGGGATTGTGTTTTTGGGGGTTTTTTATATATCATTGTGCTTTTTTTTATTGCTTCTTTCCATGGTGCAGTTTTACGTTGCCAAACAGTAACAGTGAGAATCTTAAGCCTTATCTGCCATACCAAACAGCTGTATAAATTAAGAAATACTCAAGTATTTCATGCTGTATTGCTGCTTTAAAGATAACAATAATAGTAGTAATAATAAACCAGCAAAGCCCTATGATGCAGAGTGTCTTACGTAGCCAGTACATCCACATGAGCTGTCACTGAGTATCGCAACTCAGGCTAAAAAGGAAGACTGGGAATCAAGTGGAAGGGAAGAAGTTCTGGTTTCTGATACAGAGCATAGAGGATTGTTTTGACTTAGCACTGACTGCAGTGGCTGTAAGTTGCTACTAGGACTGCCTCCAGCTCTGCCCCGAAAGCTGTCTTATGGTGGGGAGGCAGGATCTGAGCCTTCTGTTCAGGCAGTCACTTGCATAGCAGGAAACTGCCACGATACCTGAGGAAAGAACAGGTAGATGCTTCGGCTCAACAGATTTCCACAGTTCAAAATGACAATGTGCACAAAAAAACTTCCAGAGAAATACCAGCATGCTCCATTCCTAAAGCAATGGGGTTTGTCATTTAAAACAGTGCACTTGGGATGAAGTGCAGAGAAGTCCTCACTTGCTGTTCGTTCTTTTGTGCAGTGATTCATTTACAACAGAGCTGGACTCTTTAAAAACTCAAACCTTCCGGTCTTTTAAAAATACATCTAACAATGACATAGTCATTAAAAAGATTTTAAGAGTAAATTTGCCTTCAAAGCAAATGGAGTGTGGTGAAACTGTAAAAAAAAAAAGAAATATATCAATGCATGATGATGGTTAGAAGAATATTTTATATGGAAGAGGGTAAGAAACCTAAACCTTTCAAGTTAAGTTGAGCCCAACTTGAACAGGGTTAGGTGAGTCTGAACTAGAGTGCCCTTGTGCAGGTTTCCCCCCCTAATTTCTGTCCTAATAAAATTTAAATTCAATTTCCCTAGCAAAAAAATGGTTCTTTTTCAACCAGTTTTAACCCTGTGAAGCATTTGAAATTTTAACCCTTCTGAAGACACCAGCTTTTGCAATCCCCCAAGGTAAGGAAGATTTAAGTGTTAACAGTTCCCTTTCCCAACAGTGAAAAAATAGGTATAACAAGGTACTTCTAAGGTACAGAACCCCAAACCCTACTCCCACCTCTCTTTCTTTTATGGGCGCCACTCTTTGGGCTGTAATTTATAACCTGAAGTTATATATCATGAAACTTGCAGAGAAACATTCTGAAAGAGAAAGCAGGGACTCCAGAAGGGTAAGTTACTCCTCTTCACACAGCTACACATCTGAAAAGCTCTATGTACCCACTGCCAGCCCGAGAGCTCAATGGTTAAAGCTCTGTAATATGCTATCAAATGGGAAAGACTGATAGAGCTCATCAGCGTGGACACCATCGGTGTCATAGTACTGGTTATCTGCAATGCTACTCTGAGGGTTTGGGAGGGGGTTGGTGGAGAGTCTTGATTCACTCAAAACTTCTTGGTCTATAAAGTTGTAAACGGCTGGGTCGTCTAAGTTAGGCTGCGGGTTGAAGGGCACAGTGCCCGGGGCTGCTCCCGACGGGCAGGTTGGGGGCACCGCGTGGAGCTGCTGCCGGGGGTTGCTCATGTTCAGCACGGGGTTGTACTTATCAAAGTTCATACTGGTGCAGGTCATGTCGTCTGTCTCCATGTTGACGATGCCGGCGGTGGAGATGCTGGAGGGGTGAGCCGGGTGCGCGATGCTGTTACTGGACACACTCCGCATGTCTGGCCCTGACACCGACACCGTGCCCAGCCTGTTCGTGCTGCTGAAATTCCGGTAGAAGCCCGAATCCTTCTCATCAGGCCAGGTCAGAGCGTTGTCGTGGAAAGCTGGGAGGGAGCCGCCGCCCTGGGCACCAGGCTGGGACACGTCTGCCCCAAAGCTGTTCTGCGTGTGTGCCCCGAGCAGGCTGCCGGCTGAATTTGGGGCGCTGTAGAGCGGCCAGCAGGAGGACAGCGTGTCTTGCTTCCCCAGCCCCACCGGCGCCAGCGCGTGGGGCATCTGGTTGCACACAGGGTAGATCTGACTAGAGTTGTCCAAGGCTCCCGACCCCGGCATCAGCAGCGCAGAGGAAAACATGTTTGGTTCTATGGGAAGGAAAGATGTGACTGCGATTTAATGCCATTCTTTATGGGTTTTAAAATTACAAGTGGTAAAAGCAAACCCAGTGCTGTCTTAGTAAGACTATACGTGCATTTGCACTTCTGTACTAGCTTAACTGCTCTACAGGGTGGACCCTCGGCTTCTGGAGAGAAAGAGAAGACAAAAGACAGACTTCTCTCCAGAGAAGAGATCCAAGACAGTGATCCATCTCACCCCGCCACAGCAAACACTGAAGATGACAGCTACAATTAAGAACTGATGGGTTTAGTTTGTATTGTCAAAAGTTCCAGTGTCTTAAAGGAAGAAACCCTCAAGAGAACATTAGAATTTCAAGCAAAGAGCAGGGAAGGCCAGCAACTGTTCTGCACTCATCATTGCAAGAGAGGCACGGAGGTGCTGGAGCGGGGCCAGAGAAGGGCACTGGAGCTGGTGCAGGGCCTGGAGCACAAGTGTGATGGGGAAGGGCTGAGGGACCTGGGGGTTTAGTGTGGAGAAGAGAAGGCTCAGGGGGGACCTTGGCGCTCTCTGCAACTGCCTGACAGGAGGATGGAGCCAGGAGGGGGCTGGTCTCTGCTCCCAAGGAACAAGGGATGGGACAAGAGGAAAGGGCCTCAAGCTGCCCCAGGGCAGGTTTAGCTGGAGCTGAGGAACAATTCCTTGCCCAGAGGGTGCTCAGGCATTGGAACAGGCTGCCCAGGGCAGGGCTGGAGTCACCGTCCCTGCAAGTGTTCCACCCCCGTGTAGACAAGTCCCTCAGTGCCAGGGGTTAGTGGTGGCCTTGGCACTGCTGGGGAATGGTTGGACTTGATGGTTCTGTGATTCTGTGACTGAGCATATGTTTGAAAGGTGGAACACAGAGAAGAATGGGTCACTATCTAAACTAAGGATGAACTTCAAGATGAAGGTGGTGTAGCCCTCTCCTGTGCAAAGGGGAAGCTGCAGCATGGCTGAAGCTTTGAGAAGGATCTGGGAGTAAGAGAAGGGAGTAAGAGACAGGCACTGTCTTGAGAGCTTCAGTGCCCCCCTGAAAATGCTCCAGCCCTTCCCCACAGCCGTCGGACATGATCGATTTCAAAGCAAAAACCTACCTTTCTTAATCATCTTCCCTTCAGGAGGGACACCAGGGAACGGAGCCACTTTGGGCCTCTCTGTCACACTTGATCCTGCGATGGAAGAAAGCGCTGAGTCAACACTGAACGTTTGCTTTCACATAAAGTAACTCCATCTCAATGCAAGTTCACTCAACCAAGAAAAAGACCAATATTTTCCTTACCACAGTCCTTTATGAGCTTTTGCAAAGCCAGCGTTGATCTCTGCCTCTTTGCTTTGTTGCCATATGGATCTACAGAGAAAGGGGGAGATGGGAAAAGGGTTATGTTCTCTTTGATATTAGCAAAGGAACTTCCTAAAACTTCTACTAGTGGCACCTAATTGTAATAAGATCTATTTAAAGATACATATATCAGACATGACAGCATTAATGAACCAAGACGGTATTATTAACCATGATTCTTGATACTTTCATTGAAAGAGGGAACAAATTGGCTACTGTTACTTCTAAAACCCAAAAATCTACTTTGTAGAAGTAGCATTGTAGTAATTTTACTAATTAGGCTACTGCTGGTTATCAACACGAGGTCTGCACTTATAATGGCTTTTCAGAAACTCAGATAATTGGAGCCATACCCTTCTCATCTGGTAGGTATCTGAAATCCATGGGTTCACTGACTTCCTGGTCTGATGGTCTCCTCAGCTGCATCTTCACGGTGACGGGCTCGGTGATGTCTCTGAGGAACGGCGGCGTTCTGAACACAATCGCGACCTGACGGTGAACATCAGCTTGGGAGAAGGAACCTTTGGCCTCCCAGTTGTCCAAGACGAATCTGACTTCGATATCATCTGGTCCATTAGAAACAGAAGATGCTTGTTAAGGTGAAGAACTGAAAACTGAAAACTTGCAGCAGAAAAAGGGGAGAAGGGGAACACAGAATGGAGTCTGCCTCAGAATTCGGACACAAAGTAAATGACTTTAAAGGCACTGAGGTGCCTCTGAACCTGAAAGCTAAGCTATAAAACCAAACCCCCCACACGATGGTGTGCTGAAGGGCTTCAGGTCCCCTGCTAGGAAGTGGCATCTGGGACAAAGGGAAAGGAAGAACCTCGTCAAGATTACCTTTCTGAACTTTGTCGCACAGCAGAAATATTTCATCTCCACCTTTTACACTTCCACAGTTCTTGTTCACACGACAAATCCTCAGTTCTGCGGTGTTGGGAGCTCCTGGAAACAAACAGGCAAATTTGGTGATGAAGAATTGCAGTGACTTTGTCACCGTTGAAGATGGGGTGACGGAAGTTAAGGCGTAAGAAGTGAAGGCAAGAACAGGAGAGTGTGACACCCTGAAATCCACATGGAACACGTGCTCCACACAGGGAATGCAGAAGCAGGGCTTGATGTTCCGTGATCCTACAATGCTCAGCCTCTCTCTGTGCCACTGGCTCCTAAACTACAGTCTCAAAATACCTCTCTGAGTGATGTGATTGTGCTCCATGTTGCTGCCCCTCGAGCTGGAGCACTCAAAGCAGATCTTGGAGTGACTGATCACTTGTTACAGCCATGCTTCTCTGGGCCAGCAAGTCAAGAAAACTCCCCTCTCTTTGTATCTGGTTGTAGTTTTATTCACAGACACACCTGGCCTTCAAGTGACTCCTCTGCCACCCTCTCACAGTGCTTGAGAACAGGTCTGTGAGCCCAATTTTCATGCCTTTACTCAGGGTAGAAGGTTTCACCCCAAAATGCTCCAATTTCAACTCCAGCCTGTGCTGCATGTGGACAGCACTCATGATTAATTGTCAGTGGAGACCTGTTCCGTGCACAGCCTCTGGTACCATGGTACATCACGGGATATTAACCACCACTGCAGTTTGCAACCAACAACCCGATGGCTACATCGTGCAGGATGGAGACAAGCGCTGCCTGATGGTGCCTGGCCCTGTGCAGCAGCAGCAGCAGCTTTCCTGCAGGGTGAATATGGACAGGAGATGACTGCAAGAAAGAACACCCTTGGAGGCTGTTTATGGGCCCCGAGGAGCTTCATGGGCTATGTCACAATCAATTTACATTAGTGACATTTACACTAATGTCACTATATAGTGATTCAAAAGTGACAAAGAACAAAAGCCAGAATGGAAGAACTCTCTAGAATCTCAAGTTCAACCCCTCTGCCTGTATGCTGTGTTGATCCTTCGAAGTACATGAGCACACACTGTTTTAAGACCCTGTCTTCATTTAACACACAAGGTAACTGATGATCATATTAGTAGTGATATGTGACCATATTGGTAGTTTACTACACCCTCTTCCCTCCTCCAGTCCCAACAGAACAACACTGCACTGTGCCATCATGTTCTCCCATCCACTTACATGCAAGACATGAACTCCAAATGTGTTTAAAATGCCTGTGAGGATCTGGCTGGTGCCACTTGGTCACCCATCCAATCCTCCCACTGCTACAGCAACCATCCCTGTTCCAGGCACAGAGATGAAACACAAAACCAAAGCTCATGGTGTGACCCTCCAAAACCACCCCAAAACCATCCACTTTTGATGCTCAGTTTGAGTCAGTTCGTGCCCAGTCTATGATGGTGCTGTACAGGTAACGCTGCAGCACAACACAGACCACGCTTAAAACAGAGCTTCATGGTAACCTCAGGCCAGGCCCCAGTTACGTAGTTACTATCTGCAGCTATTACTAATATTATTAGTAGGAGAAGTGGGTGCTACAGCCTCATTTACTACATGACACACACCATTTGCTGAATGAATCGGAAACTTTGAAGGGAGGGGAAACAAAACAACCCCAGAAATAGCGCGGGGTCATATGAGTGACAGTGCCACTTTGCGTTTTTCACGGGAAGGGTAAATTAAGACTTACAAGGAGAAGCCTAATTTTACCTTTGTTTCACTTCTGTGTGCTTGAATGGCACTCGATGGCCTTTTAATAGGTTTTGGGGAAGCTTTCCCAGGCTGGAGCTTGTTGTTTTGTGTTTAGGCAAAGAATTTAGAAGGGAAGATAAAGGAAAGAGACGCGAATGTCAGTAGATGAGGATGCGCCATCCTCTGCTGTCCGCCCTGGTGCCGGGAGGAATGAGGAGTTCAGCACCAGCCTCAGAGGGAGATGTTCTCCATGGGCTCTGTCTCTTCCCATCTCTCTTCCCCCCCCACCTCTCCATCACAACTCCTGCCCAGTTCCTGCTCCTTCCTCCCCAAAACCACATCCCTGCTACAAATCCCTAGAAAATGAGCTTCTCACCAAAAATCACATCACTTTTGACACGGGCTCAGTGACGTGTTCTCCATAACCTCTTCCTCAGAAACTGCTGCTTTGTCTGACTCTGCCCAAGAGTTTCAGTGTGGTGAGAGTCACAAGTTGGGAAGTTTCTGTTCAAAACCAGCTCATATGATCAGCAACTAAACCAAGCTGCTCTGAATTTTATACACTTGCAGCCTCTGCTAACGTGGTTGCCTCTCTATTATGTTTGTATTATTCTCACCTATCTCTACTATCCAAAGCACGTGGAGACACCAAAGTATTACAAAGAAAAACACTAGATGTAAAGTGTGTGAGCTGATTTTCAGAGAAGCTCTGAATAACTTTTTGCTCCTGATGTGAACAGATCAGCATAAACTCGAGATCAAACCATCTTGGCCTTCCAAGCCCTTTGTACCATAGTTTTATCTGTTTCCTAAGGTACAACTTGGCCTTACCCAGCTCTGCACGACAGAGCAGGCTTAAAAAGCAGCATGTGTAAAAGAAATTCAGATCTGAAACTGCTCCAGACACGAGCAGCGTAATTTGTATGATTTGTGGTTGCAGTTATGCAGCTTCATGTACACCACTGCTACGTTACACGGAGGATTTTAGGTACATGGAGTGTACCAGAAGCTGCCCACACACACCCACGCCGAAAAGCCAAGCTTCCCCACCACGCAGCTACCCATCACTGCAGCAGCTTAGCAAGGACTGACGTCAAGCAGCGTCGACAAGTAATCATGATTTGGCACATTTCTAAATGGCAGCTGAGCCCGAGGTGCCAATCTTGTACATCAGTTTTATCTCAACCCCAATTAGTCCTGCAACGGTTCTCACTAACACAGTGCGCACAGTTCTGACTCCTGGATAGTTCTAGAAGAGACTCTAAAGCCCACCTGAGTTCATATTCCGATTTTTACAAGGGCCTGTAGGGACAGGACAAGGGGAACGGCTTTAACCTGCCAGAGGGGAGACTGAGATGAGCTCTGAGGCAGAAGCTCTTCCCTGTGAGGTGCTGAGGCACTGGCACAGGGTGCCCAGAGAAGCTGTGGCTGCCCCATCCCTGGCAGTGTTCAAGGCCAGGTTGGACACAGGGGCTTGGAGCAACCTGCTCTAGTGGAAGGTGTCCCTGCCCGTGGCAGGGGTTGGAGCTGGAGGAGCTTTAAGGTCCTTCCCAACCCAAACCAGTCTGGGATTCAACATTCCCACAGGGCTTATGCCCACATCAGCACAATTCTAACAGCGACTTTATGAAATGCAGAACTCCTTTTGCTCAGTAGCTTCTGCTGAATTAATGACCTGAAATGTTTAGCAAGGAAATAATTCTGCTGCAGAAACAAAAACCACCACCAGGAAGTTTCCAAGGATTAAAAGCTCCTCTGCTATTCTGCTCCAGGACAGAAGTCCAGCACACGCTGAGGGCTAAAATCCTTGACTGCAGTGACCTGCTGCTTCTGAGGTAGTGTCTGGACTAGCATGGTCCTGGGGTAACGGTTGGACTTGATGATCTTAAGGCTCTTTTCCAACCTTGTTGATGCCATGATTCTATAAGCAAGTCCAGTTTTGTGGAATGTGGAAAACTTGGCCAAGAAGGGGTGTTTCACATACTTCTACACCCTCCCAGGGCGTGATCAAACACTCCCCTGTTCCACACTATACACTGAAAATAGCAACAAAAGGCATATATAAGATCTTTAGGACGGTTTCCCACTGGGATAGATCTCTTGAGTCCTGTTCCAGAGCTCTCACAGAGCAAAGACAAGACTCCTCCTGGGTACAAACAGGCTTTAGAGGACATCCTTGGAAAGCAGATCAGTCTTACAGCAGCCATCACCTCACTACTACTTATTTTCATCACTTGGCACATAGGAGCAGACCTCTCCTTCCAAGTTCGTGCCGTGATGGGTGAACAAGGGCTGAGAAAGCACCTGTGTGTGAGTCCATGGATGCAATGGACAATTCTTCCTCTTCGCCCTGGGATCATCTTTTCAGAACGTGCTCACTGACCTGACAACACACATCCAGCAGTGCCAAGCCACAGCAGTGACCCAGGGGACTGGCACGGACCCCAGAAACTGGGCTGGCGTTTTTCATCCCAAGCAAAAGAGAGCAACGAAAGGAGGGGAAGATAAAACCAGGTATGGCTGAGCTGGTACTTACTGTTGTCATAGATGGGGTTGGAAATCAAAGGAGGAAGAGCTAAGGTGTAGTTGCCGTGTTCGTCGGGGAGGAAAGCTTGGAAGCAGAGGCGGACCACGTTGAGGTCGTACTCATCGATGTTGTGGAGCTGTTCTTCAGGCACTGAGCAGCAGAAGGAAAGAGAAGGCTGAGGATTAGACATCAACCCAGCAGTGATTCTTCAACAAACAGTAAAAGGTGTTGCCAAAGCAGACAGAATGTGCCCACAGTCCCTGTCAGCTCTACAGGGGCTGCACAGATGAACTCCTTGTATACAACAGAATCAGAAGCCTTTAACGCTTCATCAGATGAGGCTGAACTGCCCTAGTTCTCCAGCTGTTTCTTGCCTATGGTTTCCTCACCTTGCCTGCCAGACCAGTTCCATGTATCCATAGTCTGAAAGCTATTCCCTGGACATAATTTCTCTCCTGTTTGTGCATGATAATATTTACCAAATGAATACTGCTCCCAGAGAGAAATATTTCAGTATGAAGAAGCCCTAGCACCTAGGTGAAGATTTGCCACAGCAGTGACTTCTGCGACATGATATCATTGTTTTCCTCTAGAAACTGAGACAGGAGAATCATCAGAAAGGCAGTTCTTGGGGCAAGAATGAAGCCAAAACAACACAAACCATCTCTCCTAAACCATCAACAAACATCTGTGTCACTTCTGTACCTTTGAGAAGAGTGATTAGTGGTATCATTACGATGAAATTTGCTAATACAAGAAGCAAACCCTTGCTGGGAAGGATGCTTACATATACTGTGTAAACCACAGTAATGCATATCCCAAGCTCAGCACTTGTTTTGTTCACTCTTTCACTTATTTTAATCTCGAGACATTAGACCTGGCGTATCATACTGAACATTTCATGTACTCCTGGCTCAGTTCTGGGAAAAGCATCCTCTTGGAACACGATGCTTTCCTTTAAGGTCTGACATTAAACTATTACGTTGATATTCAGTGCTGGCAAGATGAGAAACTGATTTAATTTTGTTTAAGTGGAAGCACTGACAATTAAAATCATTTAAAGTGTCTCCTCTCCCAGTTCAAGCATAGTGAGATGCTCCTCACAATTACCTAAAGCGAACGTGTGCCAAGTCACCAGATGACAACCTCTCAAGCTCACTCCTCCCCTGCCCTTTCAGAGGCCTCTTGCAAGAAGATTAAATGTGCCTGTGATAAGAAGTGTGGGGATCCCACTGTACTGATGAGATTGCCCTGCTCTGACCTTTAGCATCTGTCACAGCCGTGGTCTCCACCCTGCCACGAGTGGGATTCCACAGTGCCCACTTGAATGATTTCTTCCTTTTTCCTTCTGAAGTGTGAAATATGAAGGGCACTGAGCTCAGAACACTTTCTGCTGGCATTTTCAGCTCTCAATATCTCAGGTTCTCCTGGTCTCTACTGCAAAAATAAATCAAGTCACCTTCCCCTTCATCAAAGAGTATCTTAAGGAAACAGGTTTGGAACAGACACATTTGGCAGCCTCCACAGCACAACCACCTCTTGATCCAGGTGGACTTAAGACAAGTGCGTTCCCTGGACTGCACCTTGCAGAAGGGCTGTCAGGAGTCAAACACTGCTTTGCTTCCAGCAGCTTGGCTGAGTCTAGTCCATGCTCTGACATCAGAGCCCTATCCCTGGCAGTGTTCAAGGCCAGGTTGGACACAAGGGCTTTGAGCAACCTGCTCTAGTGGAAGGTGTCCCTGCCCCTGGCAGGGGGTTGGAACTGGATGAGCTTTAAGGTCCCTTCCAACACAAACCATCCTATGATGATCATGGCTAGCAGGCAATTGGCTCCCACAGACACTCTGGCATCATGACTTACAATCCCGTGTTGTATTAGCCACTGGCAACCACGTGGACCCAGCCAGAGTGCCCGAGCAGCAGTCAAATGTCAAACCTCTTCAAAACTAAATTGAGCACAGAGATTCAATACCTTTGCCTAAGTCAGCTCCCTGTGGATAGAAGCTGAGCACTAAGTCTGCATCTGGCTTTTCATTCTGAATCCAAAGTGAGGACTTTGTGGTTGCATGAACAAGTCTCTCATTATAAAGTCCTGCACCGCATCCGAGACACAAATAGTAGCAGACTTAAAGCTTAAAGAGAACTCTGTAACTGCAAAAAGTACACTAGATATGGAGAAAACCAGTAATGCTTCTGTTCAAATTGCATCATTTCCTATACTTCCCTATACTATTGCAATTCCCAATCAATCTGTTTAACTACCTGATACAGAAAAGTTGTGGGGTTCCAATAAGGATCCCCCCAGTTAACTACAGCTCCTGCTTTTTAAATGCTATTGCCAGCACCGTGGCAGGACGCTGTGGTCCACAGGATCACTGTATACAGCTCATTGTACTACAGCAGAACCACTGCTCCTGCTTTGCATGCTCTTACACATGAGTTTCAATTAAAAAACCCTGTCGTTTGAAAGAGGAAGCGTTCAGTGAAGAATGATTCCTCTCGAGCTATTTTTAACCAGATGAGAAGAACGTAACAGAGCAGAAAAGGAGAACAAGACGGTTGCAATTCCATTGTGTGATGACAGCCTTAAAAAAATAGGCTGGATTCCGTGTCCGTACAAAGCTTTCATCAATTCCAAAACATGGGACAATCATCCAAGCAAAATACAATGTTGTTATTTTTAACAAACATCTAATCCTGCTCCCTCTGAAGTCGGATTGAGAGCAGCCTCTCACTTGAACGGGTGCTGGCTTACACCTTCAGGTTATTAAAAGCAAACAAAACCGGGGCAGACAAACACACTGAGTAATGCCTGAAGTATGGCTGGACGGAGGATGGTCGTGTCATTCAGTGCTATTCCACCAACTTCTGCACAGGAGGACAGCAGACAGGGTTAAACCTGACTAACCTGAACTTATTAAAGTTAAGAAACACTGTCGAAGAGTTTGGGAACAGTAAGTACTGGAAGAGGAGAAGAGTCACCGCTCCATCGACCTGAGCAAGCTCCACTCAACCAGCTCTACTGAAACCAGTGACGTGACACACGTGAAGTGAGGAGCAGATATGGTAAGAAAAGGGCTCAAACACAATGTATGAATAAAAGGAAGAAGTGCCCTGGCCTTGGCAAGGGTTCAACTTCCTCTTCTGACTGCTTCTCGCTGTGTGGTACCACACCTTACTGGCTGCATCTGAATCCAACCGAAAGAGCTGGAATCCAACCAACAGTCTGGGTCTGTTCCTGGGATGGCCCCATCTAATGAAAAACTAGCCCTAACGTGGCAGAACTTCATTTTCCATGGGTTCCTATGTGAACAGGAGGATATGAAAGGATGTTTCCAAGCACAGCTCTTTTACAAGGGGAAGGAGAGCTTTTAAAAGTAATGCTCAGCAACTCAAACACATAGAAATTAACGTGGTATTTCCAAAGAATTTAAATTCTAAGGTAAATACGGGGCATGAGGCCAAAAAAAAACAGCCATAAAAATACCACCAGCACAATGGCAAAGGAAAACTAACCTCACTCACCAACATTCTGGGAACAGGATTTCAAAAGCAGTAATTGGAGTTACAGCTGGGGAGTATTTATTAGCTGCTCTGCACCTCAAAGGGGCTACAAGAGCCAGTAAATCCTTTCTTGATCAATCTGTGTACAACTCTGCTGAAAGAAACACTGATTCCCCAGCTTAAAGAAATAATTACCTTTGAAATAATTCTCTGATCCATTACCTGCTAACACTGGAAGAGACTGGCACAATCCCAGTGTGAGCAGGAAGAAAACCCACCCCATCCATGCACA